TTCCACTGCGCCACCTCTAGCGACCCCCGGTGCTCTGACTTCCCTTCTCCCGATCATACCTACTACTTCATCCACCCGGGATTTGTCGTCATCACTACCAGTTTCCCTCCCTTCCGCCTTCTTCTTCCGTATCATCAACTCAGCGTCGTTCCGTGGCCGGCCATAGCCCCGTACTGGCCCAGCACACCCTGCGAAAACTGTCGACGACGCAGCGATCAGAGAACCTTGGATTTCAGACGGCCTAACCTCTCCCCAAAATGCACTCGTGCCCCCAAAAGACCCTGTCACATGAGATCTCAGTTCTGACCGGGGACTCCACTTTCCCAAAAATCCTTGGCACACCCCTTTTCGCACTTCCAGGCCCACATCCCACTCCGATCAGGAAGTCGCGCTGTCGCGCCCCGACCGTTCCAGGGCCTGGCTCGATGTCTCTTCTCGGGCCGAGTGCGGTGGGTTGATGGACTAGCAGGCTGTCACGCAGGATTTTGGAAAGTTTTAGGAAAATTAAGAAGTGAACTCACAAGCAGCCTTTGTCACACAATCGAGTAGCTAGGGTTATCCCTCCTGCCAGCGGCGACACGGCTTAGAGTGAGGCGTTCGGTTTTATCGCCTGCACCTGACCCCGTATAAAGGTTAGGTTCAAGGTCACCGAAGTTCCTATTATCCAGGAGTCCTTCAAGTAGCCTTGAGTGTAACCTGTTATGATAAGGAGTGATTAATAACTTGTTATCTCATGCATAAACATTCCATGCATTACAGGACATGCATCACAAGTCAAAAGACACTGAGAGGATGAAAAGACCAGAAACCAGACTCTGCAAGAGCATGACCAAAGACAAGAGACTGAAGAGTAGTACACAGAGAATGGAGGAAGAAGCCATAAAGAAGGGGTTGCAGTCACTGATAGATAATAATAATGTCATAGTACATCTCAGTGACGAAAAGATACGAACCTCAGTCAATAACAACGAGTGATACCCCCTCATGAGTAAGCTCGACTGCCTGGGACTCCATATCTGGTACACACTGGTCCTCCTCATCATTGAGAACCTGAGTGGCAATTGACTCTGGGACCACATAGCTGATGTTGAAAGATGTCGTAGGATCAATCTTGTTGATGTATGCCATACATCTGGCCATCTCCTCGTCCGCAACGCTCCGAAGATACAGCTCCTCGGCGAGGAAAATGCTGCCAGTGGCACCGATCAAGATCTCGATCTGCCCCTTGCCGTAGATGTAGTCATATGAAACCTCCAGAAAACGGTCTCCATAGAGAGGCTTCCAAAAAGCCTGTATAACGAAGTTCGCTCCCACCAAATGACTGTAGCCAGCCCCAGGATATGGGACTGGTCCCTTCCCTCTAGAAGGGCCGGCTACCTCCTCTGACTTGGGTACTCCTGACATGTACGGCCTGAATCAATCTCCCTCAAGCAAATATCGTGCCAGGGGGTAAGCAACCCGTCGTAGAGCTGCCTTCCGCCTGCGTCTCGCTCTAGTGGCCAGTGTCATAAAATGCTCTGGATCTGCTCCAAATCAAGCGTGCGCAGTCCCTGTGAGTATCCCAATCAAAATAGTCCCCGAAATCAACGTCGCTCACACAGCAAGGCCCTTGGTCTGACTCGTCCGTCTCTGACCTCTGTAGACAGGTGGTAATTGGTATCCCGGATCTGGCCACCTCGCTCCTGATCCTCCTGTCTCGACGACTCTTTTCCCTGCTACCACCCCTGCTCAGCGGTTTAGGATTACAGCGATCAAAGTCATAGAGAGCACCACCTGGTGCAAAGGGGATCTGGGGAAACACCACGTGTAACCAGTGCTCTCTCCAATAACTCTCCCTGCGGAAGATATAGTCACCAATCCGGTCGTAGGTGGTTCCCTTTATTCCCTGTCCGGCTTTTCTCACGTGATAAGTGATCACCAATGTATATCTCGATGTGGGAGACTCATTGGCCCTGATGACGAAACTCTGATGCCCAATGTGCCAATAGCAGAACTTCTCAACCAGCTTACCCCATGTAGGGGTTGTCTCACGTTCAGAAGCCAGCTTGACCAATCTGCAAAATAGTATAGAATGCTCCTGGTAAGCTGCTGTGCCGAGCAATGATGTCCTGTAGATGAAGGGGGGGGGGTATCAATAGCCCAGGGAAATAACCCAACTCGATAGGGTCAAAGAGGACAACACCTCAACAGACCCTCAAGCCAAACTAGTGGCAACCAACTCAATGTAGGGGCCCGCCTGAATGGGCCCGCCT